TCCTTGTGTAAAAGGACATCCATATTAATGCACACTGCCAAAAAACCGCGGAGCTGAAATAATTTGACCTTGTGCAGCGTGTGACACTGTTGATCACTCCATTCTATTTGAGCTCTGGGTTGGCCTTTCTGCTACAGCACTGGACTGTGCCAGATCTTAGTTCCCCTCCTATCAAATAATTTTTTTCCACTTTATCTCAGTGAATTACAGTTTCCTTTTTCTGTAAGAACAATACACCTCCACAAATACAAACACCAGCTATTGACAGTCCGATTTTTTTTAGTTTGAAAAAATAGAAGATTTCTCTAATCCAACAGGTGTGCGAAGGTGGTACCAATGATTTCTAGTTCAAAACAATCAATTGTCTTGCCAAAAGGGTGGCAAAAGCAAGGATATCTTTCATAGATTTTGCAAAAGAAGTCAAAGAATATGTATCTCCAAGAAAGAGGGGGATGCCAAATAGCAAATGTATTTGGTTCAACTCTTTAACTTAGTACTTCTGACAAAGTGGTAAAAATTCCTGTCCAATATTATTTCATCACACATTTTAGCCAATCTAGCTTTAGTATAATAGACACAATGTACCACTTTACATTGAATGAGAACGTGTCTAGTACAAATAGAGGATTTATACATTTATACAGCTGCAATATCTCTCTCCAAATTTGTTGTGAAAATGCCTCTCCCAAGTCCTCTTCCACAACCTTCAGGGTTCAGGACTAAGAAGAATGATCTGATCATAAATAAAATATATGGAACCTTTAAGAGTTTATAATAGTCTAAAGAATACATCAAGGGCGGTGTCCTCTGGTAGGGTGGGAAACCCAGAAAATGTAGAATAAAGAAAAATAAAGACCTCCAAATATCTAAAGGAATTCTGCTGAGGAAGTGAAAATGTTTCTACAAGTTCCTGAAATGAAGCTAACGCATAATCAATGTACAAGTCTCTAAAATTGTTAACATCAATACTTGCCCAATTTGCCAAATGCATGGTTGCCTATTGAGTAGGAGCTCGGAGTAGAGTCATTGCTCCTCCATGTCGAAAGGAGCTAGCTGAGGTGGCTAGGGTATCTGTTTCGGAGGCCTCCTTGTCGTCTCCATCGGGATGTATTTCAGGCATGTCCCACTGGGAGGAGGCCTCGTGGAAGGCCAAGGACACGCTAGAGGGACTATGTCTCTGAGCTGGCCTGGTGTCGCCTCAGGGTCCCCCCAGAGCAGCTGTAGGAAGTGTGTGTGGATCAGGAAGTCTGGGTATCTTTGCTTAGACTGCTGCCTGCACGACCCGGACCTGGCTAAGCAGAAGAAAATGGATGGATGGTAGGTTACAAGTGGTGTATGAGCAGATAAGGTTTGTACGCCAAAGTACCGTTTAAACTGAATCCAAATTCTCAGTGAGGTTCTCATGATAACGTTTTTAGTGTAGGTAAAGGTAGAGGAATAAATGGGAGAGTTTACCAGAGCACAAAGAGACACTAGATGAGTAGAGTTTCTTATTTAACATTTAAATGGTTCCCCTAACTTAAACTATAATAAACAAGTTACCATAACTATGCAGGTGACACACAGCTATGCTTTGCAATACCACCAGGTGGCTATGAACCCATTCCAGTGCTGGATAAATAGATAATAAAAATAGAAGAAATAAATGTGTAGGAGTAACAAAAATTTCTACAGATAAACCAAAACAAAATTAAAGTAAAGATTTTTGGACTGAAAAAAAAAAAAAAAAACAGATTCAAATCCACAACTCTAAATTGATCTTGCCTAAGGTCGTAAACTTTGAGTTTTCAGTTTCACAACGACTGATGTGATTTAGTTCAGTCAACTCTGAGTATGTCCACTCAAAGTTGAACTCATGCGTTACAAGTATGAGAAGCCATTATCCAAGGACATGGACATCCTGAAATCGTTTATTTATTTTTTTTCCTCTTTTAGTCTTTGACCCAAAATATACTTTATGAATTTAAAATGCAGATCAATTTTTCTCCACAAGAGATGTAGCACCACCTCAATAGAGCCTTGCACTGGTGAAAGGCCAGAAACCCCCCCAGGTAACAAACTATGTCTCAAGAAGAAGAAAGACCGTTGAGGAAATGGGATCATCACACATTTAAAGACGTATGATAGCAGTTACATATAAACTACAAAAAATGGTTGTAGAGCGTAATCTGTTCCCGGCACCTGATACCTCAGAGCAATACCTTTCTTTCTATCTTTGTTGTGCTCTCGCCTTCAGTTGTGTTCTTTTTTCACATAAATGTAAAAAAATAAAAGCTATTCCATTATTTTTCAGGTTTGTTAATATATCAGTGGATTTGAAATTGAAAATTGAAAAAATACGAAGGTACATTCTGGGACGTTGGGCATACGCTGTCTAAATCGGCAAGGTGTGACAGGGCTCTAAGTAAAATCAACTGGCAGCAGGTGAAGATGAAGTCTAAAAACTTTTTTAAAAAGAAAGGTCCTGTTCATCATCTCATGGGTTCCTCCTCATTTGATTCTTCCATCACACAGTAAATACTAAGTGGCTGTTTGCAGCCGCTTTGGATGATATCATCCCTAAAAATATTTGTTATCAGTCCCATATGGCCTCACAATGTGTGATTGGGTTAAGTCATTGTTATCACCGAGGGAATCCTAATCCTAACCCTAAAGTAATTCCTTTTCCCTGTGGATTAAATGAATCTATTTATGTGTAATCTGAAAATAATTTCAGTAGTTCTTCATGTAGGCTACTTTGAAAAATAAATAAAGAAATAATCCACATATCACCCATATTAAACAAACCAAAGACAAATAAATCTCATATTCTGTCAACTGAGTTGTAGAATCCTCTCCCCATAAATACCTAATTATCTGTGAATTAATGCTGATCATTAATTAATTAAGATGCTTTTCAAAAGGACAAGCAATATTTGTTTTTAAAACCTAAAAATCTATTGACTAAATCAGTAAATAAAACAATGTGATTAGCTTTAAATAGAGCAGAGACAGAGGACATTCTGAGTTTACTGAACAAAACCTGCTCCCGACCAGGTTCCTCTGCGGAGAATGTTACCAAGGTAACAGAAACAGAGGCTAAGTAAACTCTCTTTATGAAACAGAAAATTCAAATTTTTCCTTATTTCATGCTTAAAATACTTAAGTTTTTAGAAAACCTGCTTTTTGAAACTTACCCAAGCTCTAAGAAATATTGCAGACTTGTTGTAGTGTATCACTCGTCCAGTCTTCCCAGATTATTAAAATCTATGGACAACATACTTTGCGTTGCTCATCCTAAAACAGCAACACTGATGCGAAGAGTGCAAAATATTTAAACACACCCATTTCATTATGTTTCACAACACATAATTCTGCATTTTTTTGTGTGCATGCATGTTTCCATGACAAAAAGTGACGAAAACTCACACTAAGCATGAAAATGTTGCCATCAAGCCGCTGATTATAGCGTTTATTTAGATTCAGACACATTTTTCTTTACATTGTGGGCCACTGATTCTTGGACTAAATGTGACAGAGAAACAGTCATACAGAGTGTTTTAATTTCAAGCTAAAGGAAAACAAGGACTGTTCAACAATTTCTTTGAGGTAAAAAAAAAAAAACATTCTCAAATCTAAGGACAGTGGATTTACTGCATACCCCCTTAAAAACTAGCAGAAGTGAAAATACATTTTAAATTCTACTTGTCTTGATTGTATGCAATTAAAGTAAAAAAAGTAAAAAGGAATGGTTTATTTCCTACCTAACTGCCGTGTGACAGCTGTAAGCTGAAATCACCTGAAAAAAGAGAAAACAAAGATGAAAACAAAAAATGTAACTTGCTGGAATCTTAAAAAAATATACATAAACATTAGAAATAAAAGAAAGCTGCAAATGTACTTTTAGGTAACATCTGTAGATAGAAATATTAAATACTGTACTTGCAAGTCACTTTTATTCACTTTTTGCCAATCTGACCAAGTACTTTCCAAGAAGAACCCGGGTAAGGTTATCAGTTAAGGGTAGTCATTTACTAAATTACTTTCTTAATATACTCTATACTCTTAATATAACTTTCACCAAAGTTTTAGCCTATAAAGGCAGAACTGTCCAGGAAATTAACCAGGTAGTTCCATGAATCTCAGAACCCTATTTTGTAACCTGTGTCACACTATGTAATTAATCCACCTTCGCTGTATGCATGAGTCCCACATGGGGTGACAAAACTTCCATGTTCCAAGCAATCTCCCTACTTCTTTAATGTAATACTCATTAGAAATAATAAATCTAAAATCCTTATCTATCTATCTATCTATCTATCTATCTATCTATCTATCTATCTATCTATCTATCTATCTATCTATCTATCTATCTATCTATCTATCTATCTATCTATCTATCTATCTATCTATCTATCTATCTATCTATCTATCTATCTATCTATCTATCTATCTATCTAAGCATATACCTCCTAGATGCTTTCCCAGAAAAGGTAAAAAAAAAAACAGTTATGGAAATTCATATATGAGATTAGACCATATTAAAATTTTGTTTGTCTACATTCTGAGATATTACTGCTTATGGATCATTGTTTTATATTAATTACAACTAGTGACTAACACTTTCAGTTAAGCTTTGCCTAGGTATTAGTTTAACCTAGTCATTACTAAGTGTTGAAGAAGGTAAGTAGGTAAAATCTTTGCGCCATCAGTGCAGCATGTTGTCGGTCGGATGTCTTGTTTCACCTGCTGCATAAAAGAGCTTTTTGGCTTTCACCAAATAATTCATGACTACATTTATTTCACCTCCTATAGGTTTATAAGAGAAACTGCAACAGCCCCCCCCAATCCCAGCCCCATTGCAACACATGATGGGTCAAATATTATGCTGTAACAGCGAATTAATCAAGCTTAATTTACTTTCTCTTACAAAACAAAGTCACGCCCTCCACCGTCTCCCTAAACATGCGTCTTCTACAAATAGTTGGGATCCCGCTTGATAATAAAGGAAGCTTCTTTCACATCACAGCGTCTCTTTCTTCCCTTGTTAAATTACATTCCCACTTAGAGAAGCTCTCAGAGCGCACAGCCACTGATTGCAGGAGAAACTTTGCCCTTTAACGTTTGGCAGAAAAAAAGATGACAACGAACGGAATGAGAAGCAGCGCAGCGGTCTGCGTCCTGAACGAATACCCTCAGAAAGCCAAAGAGATGGAGGGACGGGGCCACTGGGGGACCAAGGCGGAGTACATCCTCACAGTCACAGGAGCAATTATCGGGCCTGGAAATATTTGGAGGTTTCCTTACCTATGTTACAAAAACGGTGGAGGTGAGTGGTTTTACGCACAGATGCGCATTTGGCATTTTGCTACTTAAATTCAGACTGAATGCATTTTTTTAAATGTTTTTTTTTTATGTGTGTGTGTTTTGCAGGAGTGTTTTTCATCCCATACATCTTGTTTATATTTACGTGTGGCATACCCCTGTTCTTCCTGGAAACTGCGCTGGGGCAGTACACCCGTCAGGGAGGAATCACATGCTGGCGTCAGATCTGTCCACTTTTTCAAGGTGAAACATCCTAATCTGCCTTCTGTCTTAAACCTCCGTTAAAGTTTTGAATTGTCCATAATAGTTGATGTAGTTCAACTAAATAGATCTGCAGCCTTTTTTCACCCTTTATTTTAAGACTTCAATATTGCACTGAATTGTTTGCCTTTTATAATGCTGTGGATATTCAGTGCTCTTTTATTCCTTGGAAGAACTGAAAAAAACGTTAGAATTAATTTTCTGAGAGTGGTAAAGAGAAACACGCTAGGAAATCTCATGTAATAAGCAGCCTTGATCAGTAAATAATGTGTCATTGAAAGTGCCCTTCATGCATTCTGATACTACTACACCAAGGTAAACAGACCAAAAGAGATGTAAACAATAAGAAACTAAACAAGGAGGTTTCATTTAATATGCCAAGACCCAAAAGGAAAACAAATTGAATAAAAAAACAAAAGAACAACACCAAAAAACACCTAAAACAACTATTGCAGGATCAAGAGCATACTATAATCACCAAGAAAGTTATCAAAACACAACAGAAAATCAGAACTTTAGCCAAGGAGATCAAGGCATGTTTAGATATTAGTGAAACTGTGACATAGATTTTTTTTGGTAAAATATTACATTAAAAAAAAGTAATGATAAAATTTGTGTTTTATTTTCTTAACACCACTCAAATCTCAAGACATGCAACCATACTACTTTAGATATGTCAAAAGAGAAAGCTAATATATGTTTTCTTTAAGGGAATTCATGTTGCAAAAACAAAAAATAAAGAATGCCAGTCAAGATGTACGGCTGAATCATTTAGTTATTGTCCTTAAAAAAAAAACCCCCCAAAAAACTGTCAAGCAGACTAAGAGTTTTAAATGAAACCTTCTGCCGTTTTGTAATTTTGAAAAGACTCTTATTATTGCAGTATTGATTATTATTAGTCGGGCACATGTTCAGGGTTAGTGGAGATCAAATTAAAGTTCAACTTCAAGAGAAAAATTGTTCCTGTCATCTGCAAAGACAGAATGCAGGATAAACAAGCATGACCACTGGAAAGTACAGTTTCTACCAAATATTGACTTAAAGGTAAAAGATTCTATGAGGTACTGGTTCTCTTTTTTCCATTGCCTTTTCCTTTGATGAATAACTTTATTGCCATTTTATTTTATTTTATAAGGTCTGTATTTCTATGACAAATATGTAAAAATGCATTACAGCCCTGTTTTTTATCCCCCCCCCCCAAGGCCTTGGCTATGCCAGTCACCTAATCATCGCTTTCACTGCAACTTCTTACATCATGATCCTCACCTGGGCGTTCTTTTACCTGTTCTCATCCTTTGGTTCACATTTACCTTGGGCTTCATGTGGGAATTACTGGAACACAGGTATAGCATGTTTCTGCTATGCTGTTTCTATGAGGATAAAAGTATATAAACACTGTAATATATGTTGTTTTTTTATTTAGAGGAGTGTGGAATTTAATTCAACACAAAAAAGTGTTGTGATATGTTTTTATCTTCTTACTCTAGACTCATGCTTTGACAGCCATCTGAATCTGAGCATGAAATCCAAAGTGAACACTACCCTCCCAGTCGTGGAGTTCTGGAAGTAAGCATGAGTTCACACAAGTTCAACAGTTTACATTTTAATTCCTTCTTTTATCTTCTGTCTGGCTTATCTCCAAATATCTCCTTTGCTGCTGCTCCTGCCTTCTCTCAACTCCTATTTAGTCTACTTCTAAATAGAACACATTGCAACATTGCATAAACAATCTTTGTCAATGAACTTTTCCACATTTTGTAACAATATAACTAGGAGCTTTTTTCTCCCTTGGCCTTTATGTTGCTATGCGTTCACTGCTGGTCAAAATCTGAGGCCTTCAGGGAACAGCTGTATTTATACTTAGATTAAATTACAGAGAAAGGGGACTCTTTTTTTTCATAGTGACTTCTTAAGGAGATTGGTTTAATCTATCAGACCAACAGAGCTGTATGCTTCCTGGAGCGACAAGTGTAGCCCTGCTACTGCAGCTCATTAAGACATTTAGGAGCAGCTTAAAGAGCAGCAGATACCAAGAGGTGGATGGCAGATTGTCTACTCAACCAGCATGGATTTAGTTCTTACCGATTCTCAAGCGCCATTATTTCACAGCTTTATTTACGCACCCTTATAAAAAGTCTTCTCATGATCACCAGCGTTAATCTCCTGTCTGTTTCTTGGGCCATCTTCCTGATACCAGTTGCACTTACCACCGCTCTATTGCACATTTTTTCCTTAAAGGAAAAACATAAAGACAGTTTTGCCGAAACATATTTTAACACCTCCTCCCATACAGGAATCTTTTTAGCATACTTAAAAGATCTTATAAGCTTATGTTGTGTGTCTGTAATTGTTACCATTGCTAATCTGTCTTAAAACGTTCAAGTTTACTTTACTTAGCCTATGCTGTAAATAAAGATGGGGGACAACTTTTTGATGTCCTCCAAAAAAATAACAGAATCACAGCAACCACAACTGTCTAGGGTTTCAGAGGACAGATAGCAGAGACATAAACAACTTGCTTCCTTCCATTTGCATATTTTCTTGTTTAGTCCTAATCTCATTTTATTTTTACCCCATTCACTTCTCTCATCTGACCAGTCGAAGAGTTTTAAAGATTTCTGGTGGGATCAACGAGTTGGGTGGACTAAGGTGGGAACTAGCACTGTGCCTCATCCTGTGTTGGATCATCTGCTACTTTTGTGTCTGGAAAGGAATAAAGTCAACAGGAAAGGTATGATAATTGAAATATGAACAACAATATTTTGTATATATCATACTTAAAGCATTTGCATTTCATTTGTAAGACACAAGCAGGCTTTATTCTGCCATGACCATCAATTTTCTTGTAAACACCAGTGTAAAGTTTTTTTTTTTTTTTTTTATATAATTTTAGGACATTTTGTTGCTTCTGTGTGATATGTTGGTTTCTAATATATGAAGAACATTTTCTTTCCTTTTCCCTCCAGGCAGCATACTTTACAGCCACCTTTCCCTATTTTATGCTGTTTATTCTGCTGATAAGAGGTGTTACTTTGCCAGGAGCTCTGGATGGGATTATTTATTATGTCTACCCTGATATTTCTCGTCTCTCAGATCCTCAGGTAAGAAAAAGTATTCAATGCATAAATCATAACAATGAGGTTGATGTTAAATTAGTTACAAGCATATATTGGTGCACTTTATTTAGGTGTGGATGGACGCTGGTACTCAGATCTTCTTCTCATATGCCATCGGTCTTGGTTTTCTCACTTCTCTTGGGAGTTATAATACCTACAACAATAACTGTTATAAGTAAGTACAATAATTGTGCCCAAGCATTTTACTCACAGTCTCTGATCATTTACACATTTTATGAACCACAAATATTATCTGCAAACAACAAGTCACTCTTTTCCCTTCCACCTATTAGTTTTACAGGAGACTATATGTGGGAAATGTAATGCTAGTATTGATGCAGCTGTTATGTGAGCTCTCAAAGGTCTTCACATTTTATTTTATTTCCACTGTATTTTTTTTTATTTATATTCCCTCATAATGGTGACCAAGAGCTGAGGATATTTGCACAAGTATCAATGTCTGCTGCTCAGATAGATTTTCTGTAAATTGGCCTGCAGAGGTCAGGATGTGTCCACATTTGGTGAAAAATTACTCAGCTGGTGACCAGGTTCTTTATAAATGGTAATGGTCAGGGCTGTAGTTTTGTTGCCAAAACATTAAAATATTATTCTTCAATATACAACCTCTTTTAACAGGGACTGCTTTTACTTGAGTCTGCTGAACAGTGGAACCAGCATTGTGGCTGGTTTTGCCATTTTCTCTGTTTTGGGCTTCATGACATATGAACAAGGCGTGGATATTTCTGAAGTGGCAGAATCAGGCAAGTAGTGATGCATATGTTTCTAGCGAGCCTGATAATCCAACTTACATTTTTTTTTTTTTTTGGTCTGAGTAACTGTGGACCACTTTAAATTTCTGAAAAAAGATTAGCTTTTTATTACATTTATTTTGCAGAAAAAAATTTTCTTTTTATAAATCTAACAGTTAATATAGTCACTGGACTAAGCTGGCCTGTTTTAAGAACTGAAAATACCTATCATCTTATTTAAAGTATAGTTTTGATTTGTTTTACTTTCTAGTCTGTTTTCTCCCACTTTGCATTTTTACCAATTTTTTATTTTTTTTCTAGGCCCTGGGTTGGCATTTATTGTCTACCCACGTGCTGTGGCCATGATGCCTATGCCTCAGGTTTGGTCAGTGTGTTTCTTCCTCATGATTATACTGCTTGGACTAGATAGCCAGGTAAATATCAAGACTCATTTAAGTCAATGAATACATGAATTAATTTATGTACTAATTACTTTCCATTATCCCTTTTTTCCAGTTTGTTGGTATAGAGTGTGTGATGACATCCCTGGTTGATCATTTCCCTTCCTACCTGAATCAAGGCTACAGGAGGGAGCTGCTCCTGCTGGTTATCTGCTGTGTCTCCTGCCTGTTTGGACTCTTACTAGTTACTGAGGTTTGAACTCACTAATACAAAACTGATAACATTTTACTAGTAACAAATGGTTTTCATTTAGCCTCTTTACAAATTGTGTTGAATTAAAGCTACAGTGTGTAATAATTACAGGGACATACAGTCAGAAATGTAATATATTATACAGAACTATGTTATTTTATCATCATCTACGATCTCAGCCTCTTAACCTTAATATTTGCGTTGCCTTAGAATTCGTTATTTATAATTACATAGGAGCGGGTCTCGCAGCCATGGAGGCAGACATCTTTGCGCTACGGCAGCGCAGAGCCATCAAACTAGTGATTGTGAGATCGCCAAAATGTCACAACGATGTAGAAAAAATAACGGGTATATTTATTATCTCAAGTCTACATGAAATCTATACCCTACACAGACTAATGAAATACTATCTGTAAAATTATCTATGTAAACAAACCTCATCACTTGAGAAGGTAGGTGATGCGGACGTCGTGGAAGACATTTTGTCCCGTAACGCTCGCCGTACTGTTGGGGGGGAGAAGCGGTGGGGGGGAGATGTTCATGTTGCTGCAGTCTGCAGTCTGACCACTAGATGTCGCTAAAAGTTACACACTGTAGCTTTAACTGGGATTTTTATAACAGCACACAGTAGTGATGGTTGTGAGGGGCAGAAGAGAATTTCAGGCAACTACACTTAAATGCATCACTAATTTCAGACTTTCATGCATATTTATTTGCAAATGTATTTATTTATTCCCAAGTCAATACTCTTTGCACCAAAATACTAAAAGATTTGCATATTTTTTTTTATTAATTAGCTCAAACTAAGCCTGCCACAGATTCTTATTTTTGTCAGCATTTTGGTCTGGGATGTTCTATCACAAAACACAGATATGTTTGTAGAGTTTTTACCATGTTGGACAGTGAACCTACACAATGAACTTACCTGTGTTGCTGGTATTTCTGTTATTTTCGGATATATTTTCTCTTTTATTTGCCCTGTATTTAGCATCATTCATGTATCTTTCTAAAATGAATGTGATATATTAGCAGGTGTGTGCAATTATCTAGTGTTTATAGTCTACTATTACTCTTTACAATGTTGCGTTCACCTCCAAAATTGTAGGTGACCGCAGACAGTGCCTCAGACAGGAGGTCTCTAAATGGTCAAAGCTATATCTGATCTACACTTTGCATATTTCCTGTTTGGTACCTTCCCTGCTTGTTTTGTTTGTATGAGAGCAATTGTGGAAAATGACTCGTGAAGATAGACCAGCTAGAAGAGCGAGGTGCGCAAGAACGCTGGGACCCTTTTTCCCCCTGGATCCCCACACTTTTTCGCCCCTTGTCCGCCCGTTGTCCCACAAACTTGCCCCTTGCACTTTTTCCACTTCCTCACTGCCTCGGCTGGGCATAAATCAAAAAAATATCTGCAGCAAGCTCACTGCGACACACTGCAGCAAAAATATAACCAGCCCCTCAGATGTTTCCCCTTTGTTCTTGAAAAATGTTGTGTCTTTTGCAAACACTTTTCAAATTATTTAATTATTTTTCATTTTAAAAGTGTACGAGTCATGCTGTCGCTCAATATATATATATATATATATATATATATATATATATATATATATATATATATATATATATATATATATATATATATATATATATATATATATATATATATATATATTATAAGTGTTGTACATGGTTAACCCAAAACCGTAGTATAGTTTATTTCAATCATCAATTAATTAACCAATTCATACGTTACACTTTTTTCCTCTTTTAAGGGCGGGGTTTACTTGCTCCAGCTGTTGGACCACCATGTCTGCAGTGGCAGCACCTTGCTGATCCTTGCGTTCTGCCAGTCTGTTAGTATTGGATGGGTTTATGGTGAGTTATGGAGCCCTTGATTGATTTCACTGACCTCACACATTACACTGACTCTCACATGTGGTTTATCTGTAGGCACAGACCGTTTTTATGACAACATCACAGAGATGATTGGTTACCGTCCCTTTCCATTCATGAAGTACTGCTGGCGGTACATCACTCCTCTTGTTTGCTTTGTAAGTACAACTAATTGTCAGACATGTCTTTCTTTTCCATAATTTGTCCTGTTAGATTTTCAGTGTGTTTATTAATAAACAATCGAGATGCCAACTCTGAAAAGTAATACATGCTTCAGGTCAAACCTTTTGGCGGCAGATCATGTCATATTTATGTGCCCTCTTATTCTGCCTCATGACAATGTAATGTAGATAAAAATATGTGAGGTTGATATCTGGACTTCCCTTGCATGCATTTTTTTGTCATACTTACAGCACAACTGTAAAAAATATTAACACTTTAGATAGATTTGTAAAATACCAAAAATCTTATACTGCATTGGTACATTGTAGTGTAAATTGTTTTTGGAGCCCTTCGATCTGAAAAACCGTTAAATAATTACAGGTCAATTAGTCATTACTTAAATATATGCATCATTAATACACTTTTTTAGGTATATCGAACTATTTAGCTTTAATTTATCCATAACTTCAATGGGGAAATAAAATTTTACCCTTGGTTTCGAAGCATATAAAATGTGAAAAGAGGTCTATTTGTTTCATCCCTCCTCAAAATTTGAAAGATAAGAGAGCAAGCTACTTCAGATATTCATATTGATAAACATTTTAAAAATATACAAACATTACAGAAATTATTTACACAAAATCTAGAGTCTGTCTTGATCTTTGTAGCATTTTATAATTTTTTAAATCTTCTCTGTCTTGTCTTCTAACAGGGAACCTTCATCTTCTCCATTATCAAATATACTCCACTAAAGTTCAGTAACTCCTACGAATATCCACTATGGGCCAATATCTTGGGCTGGTTTTTTGCCACAGTCTCTCTTTCTCTCATCCCACTGTTTGTGCTTTTTAAATTAATCCAAGGACAAGGCACACTTCGACAGGTAAGAAAGATTTAAGTAAACAAGTTTTAGAGAAATGTACTGTTTTTATTTTGACATTTTGGTGACATTTGACATTTTGAGTGTTTTTACTTATATAAGTAAAATACATAAGGAAATATATAAACATAAAATACATTGTTTTTTACTTGGTGATACCTTACATGTTAAAAAACCCATAGAGACAGAAAGGGAAAACAAAGATATCTTCTGTTAGTGTGCCACAGGACAGCTGTGGCTAGAATGTAGTTACATAAATTAGTGCTTTACTTGGTGATACCTTACTTGTAAAAAAAGCCATAAAGAGAAAGGGAACAACAAAGATAGCTTTTGTCAGTGTGCCCCATGACAGCTGTGGCTACAATGTAGTTACATAAATTAGTGCTTTACTTGGTGATACCTTACTTGTAAAAAAAGCCATAAAGAGAAAGGGAACAACAAAGATAGCTTTTGTCAGTGTGCCCCATGACAGCTGTGGCTACAATGTAGTTACATAAATTAGTGCTTTACTTGGTGAAACCTTACTTGTAAAAAAGCCATAGAGAGAAAGGGAACAACAAAGATAGCTTTTGTCAGTGTGCCCCATGACAGCCTTGGCTACAATATAGTCTGCCACCATCATTGTGTGAAATGACTGAAGTTTAAAGAGCTTTGGAGTCCACTGACTTGAAAGGGCGCTATTTAATTACTGGCCATTGAAAGTTGAGCATTTATAAACTAGTAGTTTTTTCTGAACATTACTTAATATTTCTCTTTGTGTCTTTACTCAGCGTTTCGTATCGCTCTGTAAGCCTGTTGCTACCTTGGATCAAATATGTCTGCCGCCGAAATGCAACAACAACAGCAGCAACCCTCATATACGGACCTCAAACTTCTGACCCACGCAGCTTAAGTCACTAAGCTGACACCAAAAAAATGCACAATTTACTGTCTAGCAGCATGTGTGATCCAGATTTGATTTTATCAAATGTTGGGGGAAACAAAATCCTTTAAAGTGACTTAGATAAATGTGGGAATCAGCCATTCAATGTAACTAATTATCCATCCATTGCCATGGGAGTAAGTTGGTACCTACCTCTAGTGGTCATAGGTCAAGATACAGGGTACACCCTGGACTGAATCCAGATTATTTAGCCAAAGAAGCAAATTATAAGGTACAGTAAGCATATTGCTAGTCCCTCAAGCTTTGCAGGTGAAATAATTATACGAATAATATGAATGACAGGTTTGATGTTTTAATCATGATAACTCATAACAGGTTCAAACACTTTACATTTTTTTTTATTTAAAAAAAGTTTGTTAGGGGATGTTAAGCATTGCTTTATTTAATTCAGTTTGCAAGATTCACACAAATACGTGAATAAGCTAAGCATGCATGAATGATCAATTAAATATAATATTGCCTGCAGTCATTCATGCCGAATCATTATGTAAGAATCATTACTCAGCAAACTTCCCAACAAGTATTCCAAGTTAATTCTTTTTTTTTGCCTCGCAGCAAAACACTAAGTCAACTGTTCATCGCTTAATATGCCCCCTCTTACATTTCTCTCCGATCATTCAATATGCCACATCAAGGCTCAGTTATGTACTGATTTTCAATTTACAAGAGTCCTGAAAGGTTTACAGGTTATTACCAAGGGTATGATATAACTTTATAGATGTATTTAAAACTGACAAATGTAAAAATAACAAAGCAGGCTTCGTTATCATTCATATTCGTTGTCATTACTTTCAATAATTATTATACGGTTTAAAAGTCATGGACAATTTGCCACTAATGAGATAAAATATTTTTATAATCTGTTTTCAACTGGATTTGAGGTTTGAACTAATTTTAAGAGGTATATTCTTATTTTGTTGGAGCTTTTAAGAGTTTTTCTATATTTTATGCTTGTCTCTTTAGAAATAAAAGCATGACTAACTATTGTTCTGTGTGTCAGTCGGTCCAGAGGGAACGATATTTTTGAACACTACCTCAGATGTTTTTTTTTCAAGATCCAACATGAATCTTTTTATTTTACAAGAGTATTTAGAAAAAAAATGTTTGTATAATTATAAGAAACAATAGTATGATTTTTTTTGTCTTGTATTTGTCATTTGATACATGTTTTATTACCTAATTGGTTATATAACTTAAACAGGTATGTCATACTTGTGAAGTGGGAAGATTGCTTAAAACAAAAAAAAAAAATATACAAATAAAATCAGAAAATTGTTTCATTCATTTGTTTTCAGCCCCAATTTTAGCCCAGATTTTGGAGGATCAAATGTTGCTGCCATCAGTATGCTTTTATCAGCTTTAATGTGCAGTTTTACATATCACACTTTTTGCCATATTCTGGCATATAGGACTAACGTTTTGGTCTCACCTGACTAAATGGCACCTCCTTCCACATGTTTTGTGACGGCCACAAAGCATTTGGGAAACAAGGACTAATGGTGCTTTCCTCAAACGGATGGATTTTGAAAATGTGGGGCCCTAAGCAAAGACAGGCATTGGGCCCTCTAAACTGAGAAGACAACACATAAAACAGAACCATTATAAGGATACAGACATACATTATCGGTTCTACCTTTTGTCCCTCACTAAGCCCATTCTCATCTAGCTGATTGCTCCTTCCTGTGTTTCCGAAACACAAAATAACAGCAAATAACACAGTCCTTCTTTTCAATTTAGACAAGCCATGATCTGCTTATCTGTTCTCAATTTTTCTTTTAAATTAAATAATGGCTGCAAGTAAATCTACACCCATCTTCATTTCTTGGAAATAAATTAATCAGACAGCTGCTTTGCACAGAGTAAACTGGTGAGCAGATGATGCAGGACTTTCACAGTCTGTTGGGAATAACATCATTATCACAGCCTTATAGGGTTGTCACGATACTAAACTTTTCAACTCGATACCGATACTAAGGAAAATATTCGATACTCGATACCATTTTCGATACCACAAGGATAAAAACAAAGACTCCAAAATTGTACAGAAATATATTCATTAATAAATAAAATACAATAGATAAATACAATAAACAATAAGAACAATATTTTGAGGTTGTATGCTGTGCACAATATTAAGCAAGCTTGATAAAAAAAAACTTATAAAATTAAGTGTTCCTTCCTTGACTATGCTTTGCACACATAACAATGACACGAGCCAAACCGGTTAAAAAACAAAAATAATTCTCAGCAGCTGCACCTGTTACAAAAAAAGTATGAAACTGAAAAGTGCACAGAATTATTCAATCACACAGTGTTCAGAAAGTAAATTGTCCTCTATTCTGCACTTTAGGTGAATGACTGCTTAGGTGCCACTGTATCGATACTTTTAAAAATGAGTATTGTATCCGGATACAACGTTTCAGTATCGATACTTTTTAGAGTATCGATACTTTTGACAACCCTACAGCCTTAGTTGAATAATTGTAGCTTCAATTCTGTTACTTACTAGGGTTTGTGGTTTCACCTCTGGAGGGTTCTTGGACCGGCTGTTAAAATCCAGGTATCCACACCAATCTAGTGACCCAGGCTAAGTTATCAGCAGAGCTATTCATTTTCAATAAAGAACTTTTTCACTGTTTATTCGCACTATTACCAAAAGGGGTGGATCTGACCTGAGTGATAAATCGTCCACTGTATGAAACACAGAACTACTACAAGTTAAACAACGATGTCTTTATTCTTATAATTCAGGATTACAGAAAATCTAACATCTATGCAAACACTACACGCTATTAGAAAATAAACACGAGGTAGATTAAATGACTAGTTTAAAGAAAACAAAAAAGAATAAAACAGTAAAAGTCTGTTTAACTGGCTTCTGAGATTGTCCCAAAGATGCCAGATGTTAATACATTCAGTAATGTCCGTTGGAATAAAAGCAGGTATGATGATAACAGTGCAATTAATCAACTTAAAATAATACATTCAGCTTAAAAATGGAAAATGGTTAAAAATGCATTAAACAACAGCAGCAGAAGTCGTTTTAGCAAAACGGCATCAACAAGGCAGTATGTATGTATGTGGGGAAGGCATGTAAATGTACGGGAGACCTCCCTCTTAATGTGATGAAGGGGGGGTGGGGGGGTGGGGGTTAACTGGCCCTCAACCATGTGACCACATGTGGTTGAATGTAATATCTCTATAACTACCTTAAAGCAGAAACAAAAGAAAAGAGGATAGGAAAGAGAAGAGGAAAGAAATATCACTTGCAGCTTTCACAGCACATTTATTCCAATCAGTGAACCAGAACTCTTATAACCAACACAGATTAAAATCAGCATTAATTCAAATCCCTGAATCTACCTGTCTCTCTCGCAGAGCGCAGTACCTCATTAATGCATCAAAAGAAAAGGAACAAATTATTTCAGTTTACTGAAATAATCTGTTCCATCTCCGTAACATGGGAAGAAATTAATTTACATGCAAGTCTTTAACTGTGTTTATTCCCCTCACCATCAACAACAAATCCTGTAGATTTGGTCATATTTACTCTTTTTTTGCAAAAATTAAAGGAGGGGAACAAATTATTTCAGTTTACTGAAATAATCTGTTCCTCCTCTATAACATGGGAAGAATTTCATTTACCAGCAAGTCTTTAACTGTGTTTATTCCTCTCACCACCAACAACAAATCCTGTGAATTTGGTCATATTTACTCTTTATTTGCAAAAATTAAAGGAGGGGAACCATATATTTCAGCTGCCTGAAATAATCTTCCATAATATGGGAAGAATAAATGTACCAGAAAGTCTTTAACTGTGCTTATTCCCCTCACCACCAACAACAAATCCTGTGGATTTGGTCATATTTACTCTTCATTTGGAATCATATATTTCAGCTGTTTTAGCTGCCTGATATAATCCATTCTCCCAAAAACATGGGGAAAAAATTACCAGCAAGTCTTCAACTTTGATTCAAAAACATTTGCTCTTCATTTCACAAATGCAATAGGCCTAGAATTTAAATCTTTCCATAACTATGTTAAATTAAATTCTTGGAAGAATAAATATCCAACATAGTTTTAAAATGTCATTTATGAAGCATTAAACAACATACATAAACCAGCACACCACAGCAAACTCAGGAAGCTAAGGCGAACACGCAAAGCAGTAAAAGTTTTGTTCAGTTGGTGGGCTTCCCACACACGCTTGATGGAACCACTAGGCACATGTCACACTGGATCTAGGAAAGAAATAAAAAATTTAAGGTTTTATTTTAAAAATATGTCTTTGTAATTACACTACGCAATCAATAATTTCAGATTCCCTTATATTCCAATTGCTGGAGGATCCTATCAAAGCTTGATTATGCAAGATACAATTCGATAAAACTTGTCCTCTTCATTTAATTTACACTAAAAACGTTTAAAAAATTCTAAAAAAGTTCTTACCCAGTTTCCATCTCTCCACAGAAGTGGCACAAGTCTTTTAGGTCATCTGGTAATAACAACATTATAAAAACATACACACAAACAAACACATGATTATCCCAGTACAAGCAATGTCCATAAATAAATGTTTTCAGAGTCCATGTTAATGTATTAATTTTGGGCTAAGTATAGCTGTTTCAGTGAAACATACAAATAATAGTAACCGTGATAGCAATTGTCATTAACACTCAAATTAAGAATATGAATGTTATCCTCACCACTGTTAAGGATAAGTCTCACAAAAATTTCAAACCTCATGCTGTAGACTGCCTCAGTGGAAACAGGAAAATCCACAACCTCTTTTGCTAGGATCATTTCTGCAAACTGAGAGGTACATCTTAATTTAATGGATTTAAATTGAAGTAACAAAGAAAGTATTTCCTGTGCATGTCTCAAAATATATATAAAAATCCTGAAGTCATACACTGTGTAACAATATGTATGCACCTTCAGTGCAAATGCACCACATGATGTGATATCCTGTTGTTTTGGATGCTTGACAGTGTCACATGTCCAACGTGAGACATTGCACCCCTTCTTCCTCATAAATACCCTGTAAGTATAGATATATTAATAAGAACAATTTGATATGGCTTTCATACTTCAGTAAAAAGTAAACAACATCTGGGCAACAGAGCTGTTTCTTAATGGTGATGTGACCCGGGTAACAGCATCTGCTGTTTACTAGAATGGCAAGCCCCCCTCCTTTTTGCTTACCACTCTTGGTGTCCCGGTCGGCCCGGACGGTATAAAGCCATCCACGAAGACAATCAGGTCCGTAATGTCTTTGTGCAGCCATGTCTCCGTAAAACACATCAGACTGCACTCCTGGTACTCCGGTTGGCTCCGCGTTAGCACCGTTAGCTCGTCCATCTTGTTGCTAAGAGACTGCTCGTTTCCCATAACGACAGAGGGGAGACACCGCTTAAATCTTCTCCTTTCAATAAGTCTGTCCCGTCTTGACCCTCCTTTCATCCCACGATGTTGCTTTCCTTGTGTTTTCCTCCAGAGTTCGGATGGTATTCCAGCTGGTCTGGCTACAACGCCGGCCGGCATTAGAGCGATCAGCTGTTCTCTGAAGTAAACAAATCATGCCGCTCCCAACCAACAACACAAAAAAGCACAGAAGCTCTCTGAAAAATACCTCATTATAGAGGATAATACTTCACAGAGTCATTGTGAAAAAACAAGAGCAATCAAAAAAAGATAAAAATAAGAAAGTTAAACTGTAACTGCAGCATGCTGCTTTCGCGCATGCACATTGAAGACTGTTGATATGTGTAAGATATACCGTAAGATGAAATGTGTAAGATATTCCTTTAATCTAGGACTTTTTCCCTGCCGCACAGCTATCATTGCAAAGGAATCTATTAACGCTGCCTGTCCTGTGTACTGTCTGTTGTAATCTTTAAAGATGACAGCCAAAAATGCATTATTAGACTGCAATGTGTTGCAAGAAAAAATATTAGTTATATACTGTAACTGCTGTGATATTCCTAGACAATATGGTCATTGTACCTACCTGACTCTCCAGTTCCATGCCAGGACCAATTTTGTTAATGTCAGAGTAAAACAACTTATATGCATTCATTTTTAATTAAATTTCAATTCAGTTTATTTGTATTGCGCCAAATTCACAACACATGTCATCTCAAGGCACTTTACAGTTCAATCAGATCATACAGTCAAATTGATACAACGTTTTCTATCTAGGGAAAACCAGTTGATAGCATTGACTCATTAAAAAAGACTAAAGCGAATCCATACAAATCAATTTTTAAGAGACACATATGTATGATAATACAAAGTGAAATCTATGTGCTTTGATACATCCTTCCATTTTATGTCTCGCTTATCCCAAGCAGGGTCGCGAGGGGTGCTGGGGCCTATCTCCAGCTGTCTACGGATGAGATACAGGGCTTTGTTTTCCAAGTTTGAAGATGTTTTTCTTCCCATCTCTTTCTCATTTCAAAATAAGCTTTCTGGAAAAAAAATTCCAGTGGTTTGTTTTTAATTATTTCCGTAATATTTGTAAACAGTTAGATAAACATTTAAACTGAAAATACATTAACAGTCATATTTATAATAATATGGTATCATTAATGTTTAGAGTGTTATACAGAAAAATTATTGACAACTTCAAAGAATTTCTTTATTTTTTCCCAAGTTATATGGGGAACAGAATATATCAGGTGGCTAAAATATATTGTTTCTCTCTCATATCATAGCAAATAATGGTCAACTTTGACCAAAGGATTTGTTGTTTATGGTGAGGGGAATAGGCACAGTTAAAGACTTGCAGGTGATTTAATTTCTTCCAATGTTATGGAGAGGGAACAGATTATTTCAGGCAGCTGAAATAAATGAATTTTTTTCCTCAAAGCAGATGTGCCCATCTGCTTTGAGGAAAGCATCGTTTATCCTGATGGAGCAAAACAACTTTTAATTGTGTAACAGTGTTTTGAAATGTAGGGTAATAAAACACAAACTCCAACCCAGAAGACCAAGCAATGTCAGGGGTTTCTTACATCAACTCTATGCTGTTTTTCACTTTGTGCTGGTAGGCTCTTTTGTGTAAAGAGATCCTTGTGTAGAACATGTCATACAGATTGAACACGTCCTGTTAACGATAATCACAATGTTCAGTGACAAGTATTGTAAATCTGAGTTTCAATATTGATAGGAAGGAAAAATCTCAACTAAATCACACCTTGTCTCTGTAACATATCTGCCACTTTCCATACAAATCACACACCCTAGCAGATTTAATCAAACGCTCATGGTCAAAGCTGTTCTTCATACCCAGGTAATGGCAGTCTCTGTCATATGGAAAAAGGAAACAGATGTTTGGAAATATGTGTTTATATTTAAGACAAGACACATTTAGAGTGTGGAATCATATAAAAAAATCCCCACCTGACAAAATAATCCCACTTATCTACATCAATCTTGTTTATCTTGTTGGACACAATTTGGTACAGGATGTAGTGCTGTTCTGAACGATTTAAGGGTGGCCTCCACAGAAGAGCAACAGAATTGTAAACAATTATTGCCAGGGTGTTTCACCAAACATATTTACGGACATATACAGAAGAAGATGAATATATTCAGATTAGGGCTGTGTTGTCGAAAATTTTGATTTCTCTTCTATTATATATTAATTTATCCTATTTACTCACTATAAAAGTTCTCACTCAGTCTGTTTCACCTTTAAAGGGATAGTTCGGTATTTTTGACATGAATCTGTATGGCATCCCCATCACCAGCGGCATGCAATCACACTGACTTACCCCTGGCAGCGTCCTGTGAGCAGAGTTCTCGTCCAGTTTTGGTCAAGCCGAAAGTAGTCCTGCAGGTTTTTAGGAACAGCGAAATAAAACTTTTCTCTTCCCAAAACATTATGTCTCCCTCCGCCGCGGAGGGAGACATGGCTGTTGTTGGGCTCGCTGTCTGAATGACGGCGCGCACTGATACGAACAGAGAGAAAATAGGACCAATTGATAACGACGTGTGACTTTTTCCACTACAATGTTTTTGGGATGCGAAAATATCGCTCTTTTGAACACATAATGTTTTGGGAAGAGAAAAGTTTTATTTCGCTGTTCCTAAAAACCTGCAGGACTACTTTCAGCTTGACCAAAACTGGACGAGAACTCTGCTCACAGGACACTGCCAGGGGTAAGTCAGTGTGATTGCATGCCGCTGGTGATGGGGATGCCATACAGATTCATGTCAAAAATACCGAACTATCCCTTTAAGGCCACACCATTCTCTGCGGGATGGTGTTGTAGACCAGACATAGCTTTTTCCCATAACAAACCAGATTCTTTCTCAAGGTTTATTCATAACATGTGACTGTTAACCAAAGTGTCTGTAATTTGTTTTGACTGACTACTTTTCCATTTGTTACAAGTAAGGGGGAACACACGCTGCTCATGCAGAACAGGGCAGAATGCTGTGCCATAAGGGCTGTATGATGAACTGTTCTCTCTTTGCAAATATATGAATAAATGTGCAGACTGAGCGAAATCCATCAATCTCCGTTTATTTAACTAGGGTGAAGAGTTGAATACTTTTTTCCCACCACAATTGGCATTAGAGATAGAGAGTCTTCCTGAACTTCCCCAAACTATGAAGACTGCCTTTGAGCTTCTCACATGCATACCTCTAGCAAAATGAGATGTGAGCTTTACCCAAATTTTTGGATTGTTCTCAAGATAGCCTGCACTCTGCCTGTGACAGTTGCCTCAGCAGAGAGGAGCTTTTCCAAGCTCAAATTAATAAAATCGTACCTGCAATCACCAATGGCCCAGGAAAGACTAAGTGGACTTGCAGTCATTAGTATTAATAACAAAGTTAACAAAGTATTAATAACGAAGGAACGATTTTAATGTCATTGTTGTACAATTTTCATTGCTGAACCCTTTTTTGCTTTCATTATTTAAGTATCTTTTTTTTGTAACATTCTATTTTTGATATATTTATATTTGTACATTATGGTTTAATTTAAAATAGAGCACATTTAATGCACATTTGCAAATAATTGATTTAACATATTTGTATTCAAAAGGTTTAATAAAATGAAGTATTGTAAGTATTGTTTATTTATTTATTTTGTATTAATACATAACTGTAAGGTATTCTTTTGAAATATATTTATTTATAATATATAATGTTATATGTATTATATATGATAACATTATAGAGTGACATTTGTGTCAGTAATGTTGTAGTATATTTGATTCCGCGAGGGGGGGGTAATGGGTGTGAAATCAATTTCTCAAATTCTGCTTAGGGCCCCCAAGAGACTCGGGCCGGCACTGGGGAAAACAATTACAAGGAGCCAGGAGAAGATGAAGTAAGACGAGGTATGATGGAGTAACACGAGGATACAGCAATGAGCAACTGCACAAGGAGAGTATTTATTTTAGACTGAACAAATAGAGGACTAACGAGCAGATTGGGAGCAGGTGTGAAGGGAGCAGTCAATCAAGGAGCTAGGGAAAAGGAGACAAACACAGGAGGCCAACAAATAAAAACCTTACAACTCAAATATATCCAGAAAATAGAACAAAATAGGAATTAAACCAATAAAACTAGAAAACATGGAGAAAAGTAAAACATAACAGAACCAAGACTGTGGCAGTTCCATTTTTCTTCCTCTACCCTCAGAAATAGAAAGAATAAAAATAAGCTGAGACTTTTTTAGTACCTTAATAAATGTAAAAAACCCAAATTTCTTAGAAGTGTTTTTCCTCAGTCTGAGAATGGTTGTTTTCTATTTAAATTTTTAAATTTTAATTCATTTTTATTTTTTATAGCGCCAAATTCCAAACACTGCATCTAAAGGGGCATTTTACAGTTAAACCCGTTTTTCCAGTCAAATTGTTTAAAAAAATTTTTTCCAATTAAGGAAAACCAGTTGTTGCTTTGGGCCCCTCTTTGGGAACCCCCAAAATACAATCCCCCAAAATAAGCTTCTTTTTTAGCGCCAGTGGGAAAAAAAAATCCCTTTTCCCCCGGAAGAAACTCCGCAGAAAAAAGGCTAAGTGTGG